CAAGGAGAGGAGAGCAAGCGAAGTGACAGGGCAGCTGTGACAGGGCAGCTCCTAAATCTGCTCAGCCAAACAGTTGTGGCAGGTTACAGCTGCTGGAAGAAGAGATGTACAGTAGATAAATCATGGAGGGTCTTCATTTAAACGTTTTGTGTTTTTTTTCATCGCAATGTGTTTCTGGAAACTAAGCATTCCAATGAGGTTTTATGTAGATTTTTCTTTAAGTCTGGTTTTATTTGTAACTGCATCAAATCAAGCTGAAATAAACCATCCTTCAGTTTTTTTTAAAAAGTCTCGTTAGCGTCTTTAGTGGTTTGGGAAAGGGAGGGTTCACTATTAGATGGTGCACAAAGTGGGGGTGATGGCCACATTGTACATAACATGTGAGGAGTCTGGAAAAACCCATTCCCCTGAGATGTATGAGAAGCACTGCACTAGTCACCACATATGCCATAAGTCAATGCACTTACAATACTGATTCAGGAATGAGAAGTCGCGTACAAATATATTCATCGTAAAGAGTCCATCACTTGGTACAGACTCTACCCTGAGTTCTGCAAAGATCATCTGGAAGATGCTAGCTTACATGCAAAGTCTTTGAGGCTAGCCATGGAAGCCAGCTGAGGGAGAGAAGTAGAAAAACCATCGCCAGGATCATTGAAGCAGGGGAGAGTGAGAACAGAAGCCTGAAAGTAGCAGGCAGCAGCTACCAAAAGGCTTAAAAGCTGTCTGTAGGTAAGACCAGACTTCTCAACTACTGATAGTATGTCTTGCTTTTGTCATGTAGCTGGTAGTGAGTTATGTAGCCCAGTAATGATGTAACATTTTTCAACAAGTATCAAGTTTTTATTATGACTTACACCAATGTTGACTGGTAATATTGGCCTCCTAAATGTGCATAGAGGCCCTACAACATATTGCATGCTGTGAACAGAAATTACATTTCTTTTGAAAGATTACATTTTACTTATTTGGATTTTCTGCTTTCTAGGAAACTCCACACATGGTCTCGAAAACCTGACTTCATTTCAGTGACAATGGCTCAATCAGGTACAAACATGAGAAAAAAATCACAATTTCAAAGTTTTTATTCTTTATTTAACTTGATTCTGTTTTCACAGGTTTGCCGAACATCATACTGGTGCTGAAGACTAACTTTTTTTTAAACTGAAGACTGCTGTGCAGTGTCTTACTTTTTTTAATAAAGTATTTTTTTATAAAGTACTCTGGTGTGGTTTCAGTCAACTGTAAGAGCATGACTTGTCCATTGATGCATGTATGGCTAGTTTTACATGTGAGGGTTAAGTCATAACCACATTAAATATGGAACTGCCAGCATGTTGATATACTTTCAGTTGGCGGTATACCTTCTGTAAGAGTATTAAATAATAGACTATCCCCCAAGTCTTCAGCATTGCTCTCTCTTCTGCATACTTGTGTGAGGTACCAAATAAACTTTACCATCTGGTGTCTGCTGTAGAGAGTATTCATCTATTGAGTATGGTTGTCCATCTTCGTCTCTTAAGTGAGAAAATACTTCTGAATAGAGGTCTGTAAGGCGACATTTAATAAAAGTCAAGCTGCGCTTGAACTCGATCCTTTCCTTTGCCAGGTGCTCTCTTTGGGCCTGCAGCTGGTTTAGTTCTCTTTCAAGGTGAATTATGCTCTCAAGCTTCCTTTTCCTGCAGTTCTGAGCTGCCACCTTGTTCTTCCCTCTCCGCCTTATGTCCCTGACCAGTGCTAGTTGAGTATCTGTCAGAGTATAATGTGTCAGAAGCTCATTGAAGTCATCCACAGGTAGATTGATAATCTTATCCATGGGGAAGGGGATCTTCAAAGCCATGGCTCGCCGCTCATCTCTGCTCAGTGGAGCAGGAGTGGACATGCTTCCTTCTGGTTTTGTGTACATGTTATGCTGTGAGCTCCCTCTGGTGGACAGTCCAGAATCACTGTACAGGTTGCTTAGAGCAGTGCTCTGACCTTGCTGCTTCACTGACCAAGGAGTCGGTACATTGGGTTGAGTATGAGAGAAAGTGGGTTGGGGTGAAAAATAAGATGGATGTGCACCTGAGTGTAAATATGAGTGAGATTGATTCTGGTAGTCCATTGAGTAAGGGATGTGTGCTCCTCGAGCATGGTCAGTCATGCTGTCTGGTTCACCGTCACTATATGTCATACCTATGTCTACACTCTGGTAACTTGGTGCACCACCAACAGGATTATCTGGGGAGGCCAGAGGTGGACTAGAACCCAGAGACAGACCGGAGTCAGACTCCAGATCATCAGCTGAGCGAACGTGCAAATTTTGTCCATGTGTAGTCCACAGCATGTGCCGATTTAGACCCTGAGAGAGACAAGCGTTGGCCCTCCTGTGCCCTTGACTGGTGCCTGACATGTTCATCTGTTCCCTTGGAGCCATGAGTGAGGGCTGTGTGTGAGAAGAGACGGGGAGCATTCTTTGATTGAGCTGAGATTCAGAGTGTCTGTACATTGCCTCTGCATTGCTGCCTAGACGATGACAGACTGGCACCTCTTCAGAGTAACATCCGTCATAGGTCTCAGCAGTGCTTAGCTCAAAGGCAGCAGCAGGAGGAGGCTCAGAATGGGACTGAGTTATCCCATATCCTCCCACAGGGACCATGGGCTCCATGCTTTGGTACTGTGGCGTTTCATAGGAGCCTTCACCGGGGACTTCAAACTACAGTAAGAAAAGGGGCATACCCAGTTATGATTGACAGGCACTTTTATACACATCAACAGCAATCAAATGATTGAAAACAACTACTAAATTTCCAAGACCTCTGTGTTAATTAGTGGAACAGTGTCTTTTTCTCAAATTATCTGGTTCACTATAGAACACAGTTTGCCCCCACTTCAGCCTGCCACCCATAGCCTATGAAGGGCTCTCATAGATGTGATCGAGTTTCACCTGGAAACAGATGGCTATTGTGCGGTGCAGGGGGCCGCTAGCAACATACAGCACTTGCCCCCTCTCACAATCTCTTCATCCTGCTATCACTCAAACGGACCATTGTTGCCTTACTCAGCTGAGTGTGTATTAGCTTTTCAACAGTTAGCATCAGATGAAAATATATAAAAATATGTATCTAATCTTCTGGAATGAAACAAACATTCTGTTCAGTAATTTTAAATTACTTTTTCTTTGTGAACTGCATTTTAAGTGTTGAACTTCATACTTTCAACATGAAACTAAGAATAACTAATTCAAATTAATTGACAAGATATATTCATGTTTGCTGATAAAAAATACTATTATATTATTGTTATTTTTATAAAGTGTCCTCATATGCAAGTTAAGCATTGTTAAAATAAAAATAAAAAGACAACCTGCACCTCAATGATGATGCAGCATGGGGTATTAGGATAACATACAGTAATTGTCATATCTGGGATAAGACTTATGACATATAGTAAAATATTGCAATAAAAAGACTTAGAGAGTTACCTGCAGCTCTGTGATGGCCATCAGCTCCTGCCAAGCCACATCCATCTCTGTGTCCTGAGGGGCTCCATGAGATCTGGCTCCAGGGAAATTAGTGGACATGGACACTCCCCCACACAACTTGCCTGGAGTGGCTAATACCTTGTAACAGAAAAGAAAAAAGACTGCTGATAAAAACATAATTCACAATGTATGTGTATTTTAGGCTTGATTATGTGTCTGTGACAGACCTACTTACCTCACAGGTTCTCCTCAGTGGGAGAACATAGTTGGCCGTTGAACACATTCAGGACAGGCTCTTGCTGCAAAAGGTCAACCTGGTGGTGACACAGAGCAGCGCGTTATCACCTACCTTGCTCTGACACAGCAGAAAGAAGAAAAAAAAAAGCACATTCACTCGGGCTAGACATCTGCAAACCGCTAAGTCACACCGTGCTTTCAAACACGTTTCTAATACATACAGTGTGTTACATATCCGCAGACCTGTCTGTGCTAAATGACTGTTTGGCTGTTCTGTGGATTCTTTTGGAACATATGAAGAGTTCAGTTCAGTTGAGTAGACTCCTCCCATCAGCTGTCCCAGGGTGCAGCTATGCCAACCCCTGATAAGACAATCTGCGGGAAAACAGCGTGCTCTTCAAGACAGACTGAGGCCTGATGCTGCTTTGGAAAATGTGGTGTATGGCTTACATGTTGGTAGTAATCTTCAGCCTTTTTTGGCTAAGCTCTGACATAAGCCATTATATTAACATTTTAGCATCTACAACTTGTATTTCAGAATTTTTCAGTAAAAGTCTCGCAACTATGGAACACCTTACCACCTGCATCAGAATTTAAAGTTTTCCAATACACAAATGAAATCACATGAAGATGTGAACACTGAATAAGTTTTGAACTGATCCTCCTATCACACACATATACGCCTATACATCCTGTACATCTATACTTATATTCACACTCGCACCCATATGTCAGTGCATACGTACAGTACATACATATATAGACATACACATACACACATAAACACATTATCTGTTTTTAATACTCTGAATATGCTTCTTTAGATGCTTTAATTTAAAAAGCCTAACCAAGGATGGGGCTACAGATTAGCTTAGACGCCCTTTACCCAATACATCTGTTGCATTGCTGCCCTTTATATAACAATTTTTTGTATCAGTGTTGCCCCTGTTAAATAAACTAATAAATTAATTTAAGTAATAGTCTTTCTTGTACACCTTGCTGTGTGGGTCACTTAAAATGAATCTTTTCTGTGGGGTAGAATTAAGATTTTATTCTATTCACCTTTACAGTGGAAAGGTCACTTTAAATTGCATATGTCCTTCAAAATACCTAATGTTGATTCAAAAAATATTTATGAAAGGAGTCTTCCGATCAATACAGTAATGTGATGAAGTGGCAACCTGAGGCTGCTCCACTGATAATAATACAGAAACCACTTTGTAATTATGACGATGATCCAAAGTCAGAAATTAAATTAAAAAGTTTAAAAAATGATCAAAGTGAGGCTAATTGGAGTGGAATATAAAGCAACAGGCTGTGCCACACTCAGGTGTCACTGATAATAGTGTTGGTTCAAAGAGTTTAGCCTCTGAAGAGACTTTAATGGTCTGCAGCAATTAAACTGTCTTAGATCTTAAAAAATATATGTATAATATGTTTGCAAAATGTGGTATATTTCAGCACAATACATGTATTTTTCAAGTCATTTTTTCTACTTAGTAACAGTGTAATCCACAAACAGGATAATCCTTACCAAATATGTTTTTTTATTTTTATATTTTAACTAGGCATATCATTTCCTCTTACT